AGAGTATTGACATTTACTATAATATTTATGGAAAGCAACGACGGGTATTAATTGCGACGAGTGGAACAATAGAATCCTGAGCATTAGCAAGGATACTGGTATTTTTTAACGCTTTCGATTTAATTGCTTAACGGTGTTAAAGGCGATGGGAAAGAGTTCCAATATCTTGGTAACAATGAACGCTGGAGTCACAAAGGGAGCGGAGGCAACGCGGGGGGAAAGGGATTAGTCAGAAGTCCGAATACCATAATGGATCGCGAGAACGAGCCTTTTGTCAAAGCGCGCTCTCTCTCTCCTTGCTCCCGCGTTCCGCGTAAGTCCGTTTGTTTCCCTTCCACCCGACCCTCTAACCCTCCACCCGTTCGTCTCCTTTGCCGGCGAAACCTCTCGCGATTAACCGCTCGTTCGGATGCAAGGAGCCGTGGCCCAATTGCTCGCTAGAAAAAAAGTTCACGGAATCCTGTCTTTGAGATTTCGAGATCCTTCAACATCGACTTCTCGTGTATAATTCTAGGGAGAGACAATTTTCTTTTCTCGAGCTGTACTTCATTCTCCTTTGGCCAATATTTTACCATTTTGTCAAAAGCCTAGTTTTTCTTCTGATACAAAAATTTCGAACTTGTGACCTTTGATCTTATTAACCTTCAACATCGACTTCTCGTGTATAATTCTAGGGAGAGACAATTTTCTTTTCTCGAGCTGTACTTCATTCTCCTTTGGCCAATATTTTACCATTTTGTCAAAAGCCTAGTTTTTCTTGTGATATAGAAATTTCGAACTTGTGACCTTCGATCTTATTACTTCTTCACTTGCACTTGTTTCTTCCTCCACCTGAAGAGGATTCTCATATGTCTCTGGATGGACCTCCTATAGAATTTTCAAGCATTTCCTCGAGAACGAAAGAATGTTTCCTTTCATTTAGGATGATAACCTTGCTCAGTCGTTCTAATGATAAAAATGTATTAAATTATACTTTTATTTTGGAATCTCGTTCTGAAAGAGGCAATGGAGCATCTCCAGCGACGTGTTCAACTCTCTAAATGGGATCTCGTCTCTGGGAATCAACGACTATTGCAGGGATAATCGCGAGCTACGGTCTCTCATAAGATAAACGCTCAGAGAAAAAGGTCGAAGGGGGTGCGCACGTTGAGACAGCGAGAGCTCAGAGAGAGAGAGAGAGAGAGATTTCTGCGTTTCGAGAACAAAGAACAACAAAGTTTCTTAATGAAGAATAACGTTTCCAGCAAAGGAAAGATATTTCCACTTGAACCGGGGATCCTTCCTTTGCTTCCTGTCCACGGGAATTGCTACCCATTTCTCCCCTAATCTCCCGGACGGTTTCTTCCTCCGCGGTATCCGCGCGATGACTATTGACAGTGCTCGTTCCGAACAGTATTATACCCTTCGATCCAATCTCGCGTTTTAATGAAACGCCCCGGGAATTAAATGAATTTTCGACCATAACCGGGCTAAAACCCCACGGCCAGTCTAAGTGCTCCTATATTCCGCTGAACCTTCCCTTTTCTCAGCGGCGATAGCATCGCCGCAGAGCCCGGAATAAGGGAATAGTTCACGAACAATCGAGGGCGTTGAAAAACTGTTTCAAACAACTTCTCGCATCGCCGTTCAAAACTATTCCACCATTTTTACTCTCGTTTCGGAATTCGCAGACTCTTCATTCTCGTTTTATCGTCGTTTTATAAATTCTGTCATTACCGACGCTTTGGGAAATTGGCAGGTTGGCACCTTCGGCGATCGTCGAAGTTGAACACTGTCGACCGTGGTCAGTACTTGGATGGGTGACCTGCGGTCGTGACCTTGCGAGACTTCGTTCGATCGTTTAGGTGTCGTACCCCACTGAACAAGATGAGCGGGCAGGTGCGGGACGTTCAAATTCGGTGTCTAAGCCTACGAAAAATGTGACCTTAGACACACAATGGGAATGGATATTCAAAGACACCAACCATCTCGGGACGGGTTTCCCTAGGTAGAATTTCTCCTACTGGATTTCCCTGCTCCACAGGCAGCACCCTGGCCGAATGCGAGAGGGTGAGAGGAAAAAAGAGTATGGAAATAGTGAGAAAGTGTAGATTAGGGATAAAATGGTGGATAAAAACCCCACAAAAAAGAATCCTGTCATTAGAAAAATTGTATAAATGTAACGAATGTTCTGAATTCTCCTAAGAGGAGCTTGAAAAGGGACAAGGACGGAACGATTTCACTCGCCGGCGACGTTATCGAAGGAACAGCTCGCGTGATTCGCATATCTATTTCCTCCCTATCTCTCTACGCTTGAACCCCGGGATATCGTTCGATCTTTGCCGGAGATCTGGGTCGACTCGCCTGGGCTATCCAATTCGGGTAAACGGCAGCCAATTGTCTCGCGAGCGTAGAGTAGCGTAGGCACAGGAAGTTCTCGATGATCGCCGAGGAGGTGCGATATCGTCCCGGGGCCGGCGATAATCGAGGAAAGTCGACGACGGCAGAAGCGTGAGGAGCCTTCCGAATTTCGAACCGAATGATTACCCCTCCGTTTCTGTCCGTCGTAGGCGAATTTTTTTCCAACCCTCGTTGCCCGCTGTCGTTACCGTTAAGGAAGCGGACCCGCGCTTTTTATATCAGTCGTTATCAAACGATAACCGGATGATTCAGGATGCTCGCTTGAACTGGAATACCAACGAGCTCGAATTTCGGGAAACTGTTCCAAGTTGAATTTGACAGAAAGAAGTTATTTGGGAGATTGGACGTCCCAGTGACCTCTGACCCCGTCGTTGGAACCGCACTCACCGACGGGCGAAATTAATTAATCGAGTTCGACCGGTGGAGGTTTGGGTGCCACGAGATCGACCGCGGGTGGAGCCGATAAATATGTCCCGGTCCGCTGGAATTAAGGACGGGATTCGTTCAGCTATCTCCGTGTAGAGAGAGACGTTATCTTCACGGGGAACGTTGTATTTACCTGGCCGCTGGCGGCGGGCCAAGCGCGAAATAGTGTACGCCGGGTTTTATGCGGTCAGCAAAATTAGTTCCCCGACGGCAGCGGCGGCGGCGTTCGCCTCTATGGCCTTTTCGATTAAATCGCGTATGAAATCTGAATGTACACCGCGGACGAAACGTGAGTCGGAACACCGTCGAATCGTGTTCCCATCGTGTACTCGACGTATTATATTATTACGTCCCTTGACAAGAATCTCGCCCAGCAGAATTGCTGAAGGGTCACCTGGTCGAAAACTAGCTTGCGAGATACGAGACGACTTAAATGGTATGAAATAAATTATTAGGGGTGAATAGCAGTAATGGCATTATCAGCTTCATGGAATCCTTTTGATAAGCAATCTTTGTCCTTTCTTAGTACCTCTTCACTGTTTGGGAATATTCATCAGATTCAGCGAATGTTAAATAAATAATATGTAGATTGCTGGAATATTTTTTATTCAAAATTGCTGGAATATGGTTTGCTTAAAAATTGCTGGAACGTAGCTGAGTCGATAAATGTCTATAGAGGTGCGATTGTTAAGGGTTAAAAACTAATCAACTGTGTTTCTAACCGGGGACGGGCTGCGGGGGTGGGACCGGTGGATCCGGGCGACAAATCTCATCGGTGTAATTAGTTTAGAAGGCAGCTGATAACGGTCTCCCCCGGCCCGAATGAAACATTAACGAGACTGCATCTGGCCAATGCTCCAATCAACCGTGATTGTTCGAAATTGTGAGTGGTCGCGGGCCGGCACGTTCGGCACATAACACCGATCGATATACGTGTTTCGAGGTCGACCGCCACCGGTGTCGATAGGAATACCATTGCCGGTATTGTGTGCACACCGGCCACGCGCCCGTGGTACACCCCCCTTCATAAGTCTCCCGACAATTATTTCGAATTTTATAATAAATCGATAAAATTATTCCAACAAATTCGATCTAAATTTAATTGATTATTAACAATTATAACAATTTCTTCTGTTCTTGGCAATTGACAATTCTTGAATTCAACGAATATATTTCATTGAACCGGTAAGACTTGTGAGGTGGATTGTACGTGTCCCGGGGTGGTCGCACCCCTTCCTTGGCGGAGGGTGTATCGGATGCGGTAGCGGGTGCACGACACAGGGGCAGAGATTATCGGCGGCGCACGACGAGATTGATCCCCGAGGCATGTCTGCGCGCAAAACTTTCGGTGCCAGATGAAAATGCTCCCGGATTGATTGCTCGCTCCTCGTTCACGTGGGAAATATCCCGTGCCGCGTCACGTGAATAAAGCGGACACGCTCTCCTCGACCCCGTATTTATTAAACGTCGTTCTAAACCCTGGGGTTAAGTAATCCCGTCCCGCGGAATTTGCCCGGTTACAAATTTTCGTTGCTCGCCATCCCAGAACGGTTTCTACTAATTACCATTTGCCCGACATGTTGCTTTCTTGATTTACATCGATTATGCTAATCGATTCGTTGCTTGTCAGAGTTCCAGGTTGGTCAAGTCTAATCCTGACAAATCTGGAGGTATATAAATAAATATATATGTACATATAGAATCAATATACATATCAATTTGAGCTCACGCAGCGCTGTCTTTGATACGACACGGTGTAACGTTCCCTTTACCCCCGTTTGTGCTCTGAACTGCAATATGCGATTTGGCCAGAGGCGGGTTATATCGCGAAATAAAAAGGGTTAAATTAAAAATTCTCGGTCGAGTGGCTCACCGTGGAGTCTGAGGATATTCCTGCGGAATTTGAACGCTAGGGAGTTTCCACCCTCTCCTTCTGCTTTGTGTCCTTAACCACCCGGCAACCTGCCCCCTCCGCCTCCTGGTCCTCCTAGCGAGTAACCCGAAGGCTTCGAATTTTATAGCAAGCCGGGTATAAAAGACGGGAGCCTTTGTGCCACCGTAAGCCGTCCTTATCGATATTTTTCGATAACAAAACTGAAGGGGCGGCCGTGCCGCCGTCGCTCTGACCCGGACCGAAACTTTTCTAAATCGTATACCACCCTTTTGTGTTCCAGAACGACACGATGCAAGTGGTCTGGCAATATCACGTGGAGGAGCCGGTGTCCGCGGCTGGGATACTACCGGACCACGACGCCGTTAGGGGGTCCAGGCCGCTTTATCTCGTGCAGAGGGACGCTCAGCCCAGGCCGAATCCACGCAGCCAGCAAGCAGAACCCCCGTTGCAGACCTGGGACGTGTTGAACCAGGTATCGGTCATTTATCAATGCCCCCGAGGCTCCATCGATCCGTCACGTTTTCATTTTCAGCTACCTTTGTACCGGATTTGAACAAGAATATGAAACCATAGAATATTACTGTCTGGTTGATGTAAATAATGGCACAGTCCTAGCAAACTAAGGAATATTTTTTTTATACAGTGTCGTTAATAGTTGCTGATAAAAGGCAGTGATTGAACGTCGAAAAATTAACGAATAAATTATGCTATGCTTTTTGATGTGCATAGTTTAAAATGGATACTGGAAGTCAAAGTTCAGGCTAATTAACTATAGTGGTTATTGATTAGATCAGAATATAAATTGTTACGAATTGTTACAATGATTGTCACAATTGCTACAATGATTGTCACAATTGCTACAATGATTGTCACAATTGCTACAATGATTGTCACAATTGCTACAATGATTGTCACAATTGCTACAATGATTGTCACAATTGCTACAATGATTGTCACAATTGCTACAATGATTGTCACAATTGCTACAATGATTGTCACAATTGCTACAATGATTGTCACAATTGCTACAATGATTGTCACAATTGCTACAATGATTGTCACAATTGCTACAATGATTGTCACAATTGCTACAATGATTGTCACAATTGCTACAATGATTGTCACAATTGCTACAATGATTGTCACAATTGCTACAATGATTGTCACAATTGCTACAATGATTGTCACAATTGCTACAATGATTGTCACAATTGCTACAATGATTGTCACAATTGCTACAATGATTGTCACAATTGCTACAATGATTGTCACAATTGCTACAATGATTGTCACAATTGCTACAATGATTGTCACAATTGCTACAATGATTGTCACAATTGCTACAATGATTGTCACAATTGCTACAATGATTGTCACAATTGCTACAATGATTGTCACAATTGCTACAATGATTGTCACAATTGCTACAATGATTGTCACAATTGCTACAATGATTGTCACAATTGCTACAATGATTGTCACAATTGCTACAATGATTGTCACAATTGCTACAATGATTGTCACAAATGTTACAATGATCACCCATCTCTTTTCTTCTTGTCTTACTTTGAGTCTCTATTTCAACGCCTAATTAATTATAAAATCTGCATAATTTACATGTTCTACAGACTTGCTTTTATAATTGCCTAAAATTTAATAAACCCGTGTAACAAGAAATTGAATTTTACAACAATCGACCGTGAGGACGAAGGCAGCGCAGAGTTGCACGTGAAGAATGTGCCTCCGAAGCATAATAACTCGCCTATCCGTGCGACGTGACACCGTAGAACTTTCGACGTTCAATTACAATTAAATTTTGATAACGTCGGTACGCGACTAATAACTCGAAAGACATTATCGAAGTTCGACGGCGTCGCGTCGGCTCCAATCGGAACCGCCGTGATTCATTCCGCGCGGCTACCAAAGTAAACCCCGGTTAGGCGAAAGTGTCCATAGTTTCAACGTCGATCGCGATACTACTTTCTCCTCCCTATAATTAAAACGCGTAATCGTCTTTCCCGGGGAACTTGGCCAACCGATGAATATTAAAGCTCTCGTCACGGTTTACAACTAGCCTAATTGGATCGGCGGCGTTCGCGTGGGTGACGCCGTTCGGGCACGCGGGACTCTCGCCCCTCCCGCCCGATCCCCCTGCTGTTAATTCCGCAGGTAACACCCAAAATCCGGCGTATACCTATCAATTACATTATTACCACCTACGCTGGCCACACTCTATCATTATATGCACATAAGACGCGTTCCGTTCGCACCGTGTCCTACCCCTCACCTCCCACCTCGTCCGCGTATAATCATGTTATGGTGTATCCGCCACGCAATGGATCGCGTTACACCATCATTTCACGCCCACGCGATTCACCGCGCCGGTTTCGCACATCATCGGCCCGTCCTCGACGTTTGCATACGCGAGCTTCAACATCCAATGAAGCTATGCTCAAACCCAACAGAATGGTTTTTCTTGTTTTGTATGAATTTAGCTATACTTACTCCAATAGGCTGTCCCGTGTATCAATTTTCTTCATAATCTAAGTAGTATGAAAAATTAATTGCATTTCTGAATAATGAAGAGTCGATTTTAAGACTGAAGGCACTGTACTCGTGTTTCTGAGGATCTAGGACTGGACACAGTTCAGTTTTTTATTGTTCTGCGCATCTCAATGCTTCATCGTGTCCACTGAACCTTGTGGAGGGTGTTCCTAACTCGTTCCTAATTTCGTTCTTCGATGGTTCATCCACAATCTGTTGGGCGCCGTTATCTATGGATTCGTTTTCTTCTGTGTATCGTGTTTCGTCGATCGGACTGAGTCACGCTCTTGTTTCGCGGTAGTTTCGTGCGACCCGGCCCGAAAACGAGAGTGAGAGAGCGTGGGCGAGCGAGCGCCGGTCCGTTCGGCGTTCGGTCGCGCGTGAGATGAATGCTCGAACGCGTTTAACGTTCGCCGCGGTACGAATGGATTTTTATCGGATCCAAGCCGCGGTGCATTGTTCCCCGAATTTATGACGGCATAAATCTTAACCGGGTCACATCCGGCAAAAACTATTCGTTCATTAGCGTCGCCGGGTCGTAGATTACGGCTCGACGCTATCGCCCCATCGGACAATGCTAATTCCACTGCCGGGATGCTGCTGCTTGCCTATAGTTTATACCTACGTTTCCCACATCCTCCCCTCTCCCCCGTCGTAACTTTTAGAATAAATACCGGAAGTCCGTCAAAAAAGTTCGGGCTAATAAACTATAGTGCTTGTAATCCAGTAAATTATGCGAATCAATTGTCGTCGAGATTTCGTTACGAAATTGTTACAATGATTGTTACAATGATTGTTACAATTGTTACAATGACTTGTCACAATTATCACAATGATTTGTCACAATTGTCACAATGATCGTCACAATCGTCGCAATGTTTGTTACAATTATTACAGTGATCGTCACAATTGTCACAATGATTCGTTAAAATTGTTACAATGATTGTCACAATTGTCACAATGATTCGTTAAAATTGTTACAATGATTGTTACAATCGTCACAGCGAATGTCACAATTGTGACAATTGTTACATTGTTCATCTCGTTTCTTGTTCTGCTTTGAATCTCTGTTTCGTCTCAGCTTCTTCAGTAGCTCCTGTGTCTTTTCACTTTTCAACGGGTGCCTTTGACGTTCGAATTCTTCTTTTACCAGTCGTATCCGATTTCGTAGGGGCTCGCGACGCGGTATTAGTTATTTATGAAGAGCGACTGGGCGTAGGAAAAAGTTGGCGCCGCGAGGGAACGGAATAGGGCGAAATATGAACAGCAGCATAGAACATGTTTTTACGTTCTTCGAGCCTCTCGTCGTCCGCGTCGTACGATACTGCATACTCTGACGATAATTATCATCATTCCAAGAAAAGCGCGTTGCAAAGAAAACGTGCCGTGAATCGTACCTCTTCTTACAGTTTAATGCTACATTTTAATCGCGTCCCTTTTATAAATCTACAATCTTCAATTTTATCTCAACTCCAAAGTCCAAAAGGTTGCAATGAGGATTTTTTTGTGTAATTATATCATAAGTTATGGTTAATAACTTTTGCTTGAAAATGTCCTGACCCCGTCTCAAGTCCCAAAGGTTAGACAACCTGACGCTTTGAGTTGTGAAAGGTCAGGCTTCCACGTGGTTCGAGAATTTAATCTCGGACAGGAATATTTGATGGAAGGTCGAGGGCGAAGGGTTGTGCGGATGAAAAAGTCGCGGATCGAAGCCACATTTATTCCGGGAATGACGCAGGGAAGGGAAGTCTGTTGCGAGGGGTCTCGAGTTGCAGCCGCGGGGTGTGCAGATCCCCAGAGAAAATTGCGATTCTTTTTTCGCGCGGCCCGGACCCGATCGCCCTAAGCTCAGCCAGCGTGGATTCTCCCACGCGCTCCTGCGAAATTATCGATGTCAAGATTACCGGGAACAGGACCATTGCGTTTATTGTTTTGCGGTCGAATATACCGGACCGCCCCGGGCTCGCCGTTCACGATTCTTCCCCTTCAGCGGCCATAAAACTGAGAAATGTCTATCTAGAAAAATGGCATCGCTACCTTCTGGCGGATTCACATAAAATAAGATGATCGTTCTTTTTTATACACAGGATGAGTCAATAAGAAATTGTCGTCAATTTTATTAAAAATGATCCAAGTCCAACTCATTGACTCCATTTGATAATCTCAGACCTAGATGAGTCCAAACCCAATCTCAACTCCATTTGGCAACCTCATCAGAATGCCTATAATTGTAGATTCTAATTCTTTAAAATAGAAGACGAAGGCTTCATCATTCGTTCAATAAATCCTGACAGCGTTCATTTGAATATGCGCATAAAATAAGTAATATTCCTTACTTAAGCTCAGACGATAGAACAGTTCGAGTGTTAGACGCGTGGTGGATAGAGAGAAAAAAAGTTGCGATCAGACAGAGATGTATTATTTGAGGAATCCCCTTGAATACTGAAACGTTACTTTATTCAAAAGTGGATATCTATCTTTCGCAGTGAAGATATCAAGGTATCAGAGATAGACGATATCGGGTTTGGAAGTTGGCTTCGACGCAGAAGTGCCGGTTCTATAAAAATCAACCCAGTTTCCATTCCTATCTATAGATTCTACGTATTGCTTAGAAGAATTATTGTTATGCATAATACATTCCATTTCTAGACAGGACGTTCCACGAACAGTGGTCATCTCAGACTCTCCTATAACCACACCATTCCAAGTTTCTTTAATTAAACTATCATGGCTGAAGGAGATGATTGTTAGATTATTCTCTGTTTGGCAAACATGAATTTAATCCTGCAAGTAAAAATGGCTTCCTCTATAAATAACGCAGCTGTCCTAATGCGACCTAACCTAACCTAATCTAACCTAGTACTTAGACCCTAGAATACACATATTGTAGATTCTAGTTCGTAGATTTAATATTTTGGCCTGGGGTTCGACGAGGATTATTATTATTATCGTGAATAATGAAGTGGAAAGACAGACTCTTTCGACGTTTCGTACAAAACAACGTGAATGGAGCCGCGAACAGGAGGCGATGGCAGCCGTTGTACAAATATATACATGGAAGTTATCAGCCAGCTTACGCTCCAGTGTCTTTTCACGTGCGATCGGGAAAACTCGATGCACCCATGGCCGTCGGAGAATTTTCAGTCGCACCGTCGTATCACCAGACTGGCCGATAAATTGCCGTTTCAATTTTTATCCAACGATTGAATCCGGACGACTGCTACGGGAAACAATGGGCGACGGCATTACCGGGGAACGGCGGGGATCAAATAATAAATTGGAATTACGCGGAGTCGGCCGAACGCTAATTTCATCTGCCCTGTTTACAATTCATATCGAATCTGGCACGCCTCGCTCGTCGTGTAACAAATTATCAACTGAAATTCAATCATTCAGTCATTTCTGTTCCCAAGCAGGCTCGCACCGTTTCCTAGTTTTTTTTTTATTTTGCTTAATAAGAATATTTAGGCTGGAATTTATCTCAGTTCTCAATTCTCAAACTGAGAATAAATTAGATTAGTTGCCAATCCTTTAGTCTTATCTCCATACCTGATGAACCATAAAATCATAAAACCAACTAAATTCTGATTAGACTCTTTTTCCCTACATTTTCCTTTGGTTCAAACAATTTTTGCTATTTCCTGTCGTAATTACAATTCCTTAACATCTGGCAAAGTTAATTCCGACTGCTGATCATTCCAGCACGCATTGTGGAAGTTGGCGATCATAAAGCATCACAGTTTTAATTATCCCAACGTAGAGAGACAAAGAGAGAAAGAGAGAGAGAGAGAGGGAGAGAGGGACAGAGAGTATCTTGTTCGTTAAGGACAACCGGATGGCTGAGACATTAAAGTTGCCGGCGCGCTTATCTCGCTACCGGCACCGTCTCTCCTCTCCTCTCCTCTCCCCCAAAACCTCTTCCCTCCCCTCTCTTACATCTTTCTTATACGAATGCTACTTGTTCGCCGGTAACTACGCACGGGCGAAACTTTCGAATAACTTTTGTATCGCGTCGCGCGATGAATATGAATGTCTGCGGGCACAAAGCGAGAGGTGGGGCTTGTTAGGAACGGGTTCGCATTCAACGGTGGCTTCGTCGACCAGACAGCAGCGATACCCTTTTTTCAGGCACGTTCGAAAAGGGAAGGAAACTTCACTGTCGCTGAGGATAGACGTCGAAACGCCTGCGGCCCTTGCGTAGCTTTCGCACCCTAGCTCCTCTCAATTTAGACGCACCACCTTCTTCCACCCTCGGGTCCCCTCGTTTTTTCTCCATTTGCATGCCATTATCTACGTTCCGTTTATTATTGCGGATTTTCGGCGGAATTGCGGCGACCGGGAACAATCGTCTCCTGGGGTAAATACGGATTTCACGCAGACTCGGTTCGTCAATAGATAGTCTTCATGAGAGTACGTCATTTAAATGTCCAAAAAAGGAAAAGAGTGACAGATTTTAAAGATTCATATTGCAATCTTTTTGACATTGGAGTTGAGGTCAAATTAAGACCTTCAGAGACACATGTCGCCATTTTTACTTGACAATCCTTAACCAGATTACCAATCTTAGAGTCCATCATCAATAAATTTAACATACCTGTTGATGGGTGTCACATGGAAAGAGGACTGAATTATTTGCAATACATGAAGGAAAAATTAATGTACCTGTCCTGTAAATATCAGTTGGTCGTGGACAGTTTTCCTAAATTAATTTCGTGATAACCGAGGACAGTTGACAGTCCGACGGTAAACGTGTACTCCACTAAATAGCCCGTTAACGGATGTAGATAGATCCATATCGTCTCGGGGAAGTTTCGACGGATGAGTTTCCATTCGTGTTGTTCGACGACTGGACTCCGCACACAGTTAGTATCCCAGAAGTTTCGAGAGTGTATACAGCATGATTCAGAACATCAAAGTTCATTCAATTTCAATCCACCACCCGTTACCCCGACCTTTCCTCCCTAATCCCCCCCAACTCCCTCCTCTCCGCTTATCACTTCACAAAATCAAGATAGCTTTGTATGTATAAATAGTTGTTAACGTGTTCTATATATTTATACATACAGTTCTAATGGAATCCTCAGAAATGGAGTCCATTTCTAATATTTCCTGACAATTTTACTATATGCTGATAATTATTAGGCTGCAGGTTTTATCTAATTACTTATTGAAGAGTATGAAAAATGTTACTATTATAATTATTATTATAAATTAAATAACAAATATTTGACCTTCCACTAAAACTGGAATTTCATTAAATTATTAATTATGCTATATTATTTTATTAGATCAAATAATTAATATTGATATAATGTGAGGACTTTGAGTCCTGAATATCTCGGTATAGTTAACTGAAGAAGTTATGTTTAACCATGGGTCTTTGGATTACTTTGCAGGTTCGGTTAACCAAGGGACAAGACACGTTCTGGTGCCACGTTCTAAAGATGCCAAACATTGATCACAAACACCACGTCGTGAAGGTGAGCTAGCTTGCATGTACCAAGAGTAACCTACTTACTTCGTACCTTACGCATCTAAACTTGATTAAGCCCTCTAGGAATAGATTCCCAAGACGCAGGCATCTCAGTTTCCACAGAACTCATGTTTCACGAGTGTCACATTTACATCTGCTCCTTGACTAAAAATTTATATATAAGAACATAATTATATAATTATAAAAAATTGTTTTTTTATCACGTGCCACTGAGTCTACAATTTTTTAATGAATCAGAATGTAATTATAATATAATATAAATCCGATTACCTTGCATTTTCTTAACGAACGAGGACAGGCTGTTCTATTCGAAAATCTATCGTTCATTGGGATAAGCCTCGTCAATAGGCGAACACGTGGTTGAAATTCTTCGCACCTCTCGTCGATCGCAGCTTCAAAGACGGTCGTCGGCGCGTTAAAAGGATCTCTGATTTATCAAAAGACAGCCAGCTTTAGCGCATGCCATGAATTAACGATTCTTACCAGTCACCCTGTACACTCCACTTCACAAGTCCAATTCACTATACCTAATATCATTAAAATCTCATTTTAAATCATTTAATAATAATTATATAAAA